TCCCGAGCGCCGGGAACAGCACACTCCGCCCTCTGCCATGCCGGCCTGAAGTGGTTGCCATAACTATGGTAAAACTAACAAAACTAAGCAAGGGCGTGCGCCAGCACTTTTTGCACCTGAAGAGATGAGGAACCCTATGCCAAAGCGGAAGTACAGCTAACTAAAAATAGTGAAGTCCTTCAAAGAAGCCGAAGCCGCCCCACTTATATGCTAGAAGCGGCAACTATTCGCCTACCCAGAGTAAGCCCCGGGAAGCCTACGACATCGGTACAGTCCAATGGGATGGTACCCGACCCCGAGAGTATCCTTTGACGAGAAGCCAAGACTCAAGGAGCCTTCCGTATTGTCTCCAAGCTCGAGATAGCGTCCCGCATCAAGGATCCCCATCGAAGAGAAATCGGAATTCGGGAAGCTTTCCACGCCATCGCTCAACGCGTGGTAATTTCAGAGTTCGTGATTCCCTTTCTAAGAATAAAGAATACACACAAGAAGCTCCAATCGTGAAAGCTCCGCAAAGGTTCGAAGCAGTGCCTGAGCATAGGCAACCCCTCAGCAAAAAATCTATCTCGTACGTGTCTGAAGGAAGGTGTCCGCGTCAAAAATCAAAGGGGACCCCCCGGTGCCCGAAGCTGGCCTTCATCCAGGGTAACATTCTCGAGGGCCCCGAAATTCGACATACAATTCGAAGGGCCGCGACAGCCCGATCCTATCCGATCAATCCAGGATTGCTCCAAGGCATAACGATGGCCTTGAAAGAAAGCCATGTCGATCAGTAGAAGAGCAGAAAGGACGTTTGCACCCAAGTCAGATATCAGCAGTCAAGAAATAAAAGAAGGCATTCAAGAGGCCCCGGGGGGTATGAAAACATCCAATTATAAAGCAAAAATCGAAAGCAGAAATCAAAAGGATATATTCATATTCATAAAAATCCATGTACAACAGCCCTCGAGGGGTCATTTACATACAAATACGAAAGCCCACGGGAGTCTACTCCTAAAGTGAAGGAATGGAGGTCCGCCCTCGAAGCGCCCCCGGGAAGTTATAATAGGTTAAGTCCCAAGACGTCTAGCTTTAAGGTACAACCGCTCCTTTTTCTTATGTTATTTTTTCAAATCCGAGATTAACCCTCGCGCAGACACCCAAACCAGAAGCTGCCTAGACATTAGTACTGCTACAGAACCCTGAAGCCCCGAAGGCGCACCCGTTGCACTCTTTTCCTTCGACCGAGTTTTTATCCTAAAAAGAAAGGTTTTTACCGGCAAGGTTTTTAACGAGGCAACGTCTGCAAGCCACCAGGAGGGGAACTCCGCAAAATATTCCATGGCTGGCTGTCAAAAAAGCGAGAAGGCATTCCCCCCGAAAAGCGGCCCGCTCGTGGGAATTTTGAAAAACAACGCCAAGGCACCCATTTATAGGGGGTAACAACATGGTCGTCGAAGCTCTGGAAGACTGACCGACGAATGTAATTACTGCATCCTTGAAAAATCGAATCGACGGCAGTACTTTTTACCTTGAAGAACGGAAATGACAGAGTATTGAGCATGAGTCTATGAGATATGCCATCTATCACAAAAGATTGCGCCACGATGCGAATCGCCAGTGTACTATCGCCGTGAGGAGTCCGAGGAGTCAATGGTCATAATCCTTTTCCATCGCTTCGTTCTGAGAAACAAGGAGACTATCTGTACGCGGTGAAATCAGAGGGCCCGATTTCCCGCCATTAAGCCATCTCGGGGAGGTACCTCGAGACCCCGAGGACATGAAGCCACAACTTAGCCCTCTCCTTCGGGGCTTGTCAAGGCCCGATTCGAGGCCAGACAGAGGCCGAGACCAGGACAAAAAGGGGAAGCTCTCAAGACACGCGGCTGAGTCTGATAGGGCCGGCCTGTCCAGAGCCTGCGCTGAGGCATTGCATCAAGCCATCCCATCGCCCTATTTTGTAAATTAAAAACTCATGTATTTGTAACTGAGTTCCCCTCCTATATAAAGGGTACTCACCCTATCTTGTAAGGGACTGATGTTGCTCCCATAATTCTACAAAGTGCAATAATATCTCTCTCTCTCTCTTTTCTTACAAAAGCTCATTGGTTCTCACTGATACTGAGGATACCTCGATATCATTTGCCTCTATACGTGTTCTTTATTTTACATGTGTTCCTCATCGTACAAACTCAATTTCGGTTGTAAATAGCTTCGTTCGATTATATTTCTAGCTGTTAGATTACTCCCGAGTATCTCCGACAACCCGAGCTCGACCCCGAGGTCGACCTCGAAGTCCCAATCGACCAAGCTTACGCCCGGGTAGCAGACCCTTTGGTCCGCTCATTACCTCGTTTACCTCCCCCCCCCCCCCGACCACTCCCCCACCTCGTTAAACTTACTACTAATACCTAGCACTCACTCTCGCTCTACAACTAGCTAGGTACGTAGATCACGTATTTAGTACGTCCACTCTAACTAAATTTAATTAGTTGTTACCTACTTTCTACGGTAACGAAGTAAATTACTATAAAGTAAGTAACAAGTATAATATCCTAGTCTAGTATNGTTAAAATTCATAATACTAGCATCATCTGCTCTAACAAACTAGCTTGGGAATAGATCACGTATTTTTAGAGTCCCATCTAATAAATTTAATTGTTGTTACCATTTTCACGGTAAACAGAAAATTTCATAAAGAAGTAAACAAGTATAATATCCTTGGCTAGTATAAAGTTAGCCACAGACATGAATGCCTTTTGTTTCTTTTTTCGTCTTAATTTCTAATTTGATTATAGTATTAACGCTAAATCCTTACCCATATTAAATTAACTAATGGAAGAGTTGCATTAAATATAGTGATTTCTATGGTTATATATACTTATACCTTTCAGGATGACGAGTACGTAAAAAGATAATCCTCCAGTACTAGATTTAACAAATGTTAAATGTATAATGTACACGTGTGTATGCAAAATATGTTTATGTTTTACGTTCCTAAATGTAATATGTAAATAATTCATCATGTTTTTGTTGAAAATTAGCAATAAATTCAACAAAACCTTTAAAAATGAACAGTATTTTATGCTGACTTCAACTTCATAACTACTTAGAATTTTCTCTCAAGTAAAATTGTTTCGATAATATATAGATTTTGGTCTCGAGTCTCCATAACCATCGATCAAGATCATCAATCTCAAGGTTCGACCACATGTAAATATTGTTCGATGGAATTTTACTCTCACGTGGTCGTGACAAGAAACCATCGATCAACCTAATTATGTGTAGCTCAAGAAATGTCCGACTTATCAATTTATCTGCAAACTAGCACTGGCATGTGCATGAAAAGGATTGAAGATAATATCCTGGACCTCAAGGTTTGTCTCCTTGTTATGTACGATAGTTTTTCTTGTTAATAAAAAATTTCAAAGATAGATTTCATTTATTAGCATAAGGTGATAAGCGATTCATAATTTGCTTACTATATATATATATATAGCTGAATATCTTTACACATATTGTTTTCAGCAATTGTTGCCAATATTTCAAGTTATTCAAACAATTAGCTGCAATACAAAATAAAAATTAAAAATCAGCTTTTATTGTTTTTGTTGGAATATACAAGCTTGATAACATAATCGTATCTGTTTAAATATTGACTTCAAAATATAAATTAGACATAAACACATAATCTTAATAACAATTTAAGCATGTGGTCATTAATGTCATTACAGAAATTCTTTCCTTTTGCATTTCCATATATTTGTTGGTGAATTGGATTCGAATCATTATTTGTTGGACCACAAAAAAGTTTCCAATTGGATAAATCCAACTTCCCTCTCTCCAACTCAGCAGATTCTTCCTGGAAAAAAGATAAAATCATAATTAAATAATCACTCGATTAAAAATTAAAAAAGATTATCTTAACCCGACCCGATTCCCTAATCTTCCCTTTCTAACTTCTGATTTTGCTAATTACTACTATCAAAGATCTTAAACCCAAAAAAGGAAAGAAAACATCATGAAGTAGTCCACTTTCTGTTCCACTAAGAAAAAGATATACAATGGGGAAAATTAATGTATTAATTAATTTCGGAGCAAAATTAAGCAACATGCAAAAGATGATGGGTCAAGTCATGGGGCACCGACATTACTATTTTGATAAACAAGAATAATTAAATTGATAATAAAAGAAAAATGGGGTAAAGTGATTTAAATTAATGATTTGTCGTATCAAGCAAAAGAGAAAAGCCGCAGTATTGACACGTCTCTATTTCCCTATGCAAAGAATCGTTATCGTGCAACATTAAACCTTTTTTTTTTTAATGTAGTGCCAACATAAATTATCCATCACTATCAAAATTGGTGATCTCATGTAAATTTTGGAACCTATCCAAATATCTTTCCAATAGTGTGAAAGTTACTTATCATTCCTTGAGGATTCACAGAAATTTTCTTAATAAGAGAGAAAAATTTATTCGTACGTGATATTTACACCGATCCTAAATAAAAATACTTTTTTTTAAAAAATACAGTACAATTTATTGTCATGTGTAATAAAAGGAAATTTAATGTCAATAGTTTCAAATTACTTTTTTTATCGGTACATGATATTTACAGCAACCCTAAAGTACAATATATTTTTCTTAAAAAAAAACAGCAATGCAATTTATTGTCATGTGTAATATATGGAAAATTTATATTAATAGTTTCCGAATTACTTTTTTGGATTGGATATGCACTAAAAAAGTAAATATCATTACATTATTAGTAATATAATTTAACCTTCTATAGGAAGTTATCTGTTTTATTAATTTCTCGAATTGTTAGTTCCACTTGTTATGATAGTGTGAAGTGTATAAAAATTGTTTTTGCAACCTCAGCAAAGCTATTTTCTTTGTTGGCAACCTCAGCAAATCTTTATTCCTTTTTTTTTTTTTTTTTTTTGCAACCTCAGCAAATCTACACCGTAAAGGAATTCTATAAATATGTCTCATTGTTCCTTCATATTTCCTCACCTCAAAACTCAACGTCCCTACAAAGAACCACAAGTCACTAAAAACCTCAAACAACATCCACTCCACTATATCCTTAACATTCCACATTTTGCTCCTTTTTTTTAACTTTCAAAACCCTGATTATTTTCTTAGATTTGCAATGGAGAGAGTAAGCAAAATGGTAGCTGAAAAGCCAGTGGTGATATTCAGCAAGAGTAGTTGTTGTATGAGTCATACAATTAAATCTTTGTTCTGTGATCTCGGCGTTCACCCTGCAGTTCACGAGCTAGATGAGATGCAGAGAGGAGGCCGAGAAATCGAAGCGGCGCTTTCGAGGCTCGGATGTAACCCTACAGTCCCCGCCGTGTTTATCGGCGGTGAACTGGTGGGTGGTGAAAGTGAAGTCATGAGTCTTCACCTCCAGCGCTCCTTAAAGCCAATGCTTAAAAGAGCTGGAGCTTTATGGGTTTAATTAATTAATTAATAATTTAAAAATATCGATACATACTCGACTTCAATAACAATAATAATAATAATATAAGCTAGAGGTGGACATTAACTAGTTACTTTTAGCAACAAAAAGAAAGGAAAAAGAGAGTGTGTATGTGTGTGTAAAGTAAGAGTGCGTAGCGTTGTACTGCAATTTTCTTCAGCTAACTAGCTATATAATTATGGAGTGATAAATAATGTGTTCACTTCTACTCCAGCTTCTCGTTTTGATATGTAAGCTGTGATCTTTTTTGCGAATAAATCTCAGTTTTTATTAATTAACAGTAGTACTGGCTTCTAGTTATTTTTCTGCCTATAAATTCTTATTTAGCCGTTGTTGTTTAATTTCTTACATTTCAACATATACAGTTGTTACTCATGTGCTTATACATTAAAATTTTATACGTTAATGGTGATGTTTTTACTCTCTTACCGTATCCTTTTTCTTTTGGCGCTCATTTAATTGAAGGGAAGATAGACGCAGTACTAACTTATTAAAAATGCAGTCAATAACTTGTTTTAAATATTTATTGAACTAATTAAGATGTTAATTTTATTTATATCGTTAATATATATAACTTACATTTATAGATTATATACGGCATGAGAAGCAATCTACTCCTAGTTCAAATAAAATTGAACAATAACGTAACTTTTTTTCTTGCAAAATCCAAATTAAAGGAAAGCACTTGCCAATAATAGTTCTACTATATATGATAGAAGAGAATATCTAAGACGCGGATGGTTGCATGCATGCTACTATTCAGTGGCATGCAAAAGACTAAATATTTCCATGTAATTTAATCACTGGCATACGTCTAGCAACTTAGTATAGGAATAAACGTGTTCTTTCAAAAACATGTATCGTTGATATTATTATTATTGTTATTATCGTCGTGATTTAAAATTTTAGTTTGTTTAATTGAATGAAACGGTAATCATGCATGAGACTTGAGAAACATATCGAATCCGTAGATGAAGGTGATAAGAGGAATATCAATGCTGTTTACAATAGCTTTTAGATAGTTTCAAGGGACTTATGTCACTTTCCTCCTATATGACAATTGCAGCAAACGATATTGTGTGCTTCATTTGGAGAATGGAATAAATATATGAAGATTATATTCCATCCTTTTTTCTTTTTCTGCTAAGGCTTCACGCAAAATTGATGCCCACACTTAAATAGAAGATAGAATGTGTAAATCACATCCATGTAATATTGGGGATAAAGAAGAAGAATGCTTAAAAGTAGATAAGATTTACTATTTACAAAACATTATACGTGTGAGTATGTATGTCTACATTAAATTCATGTTGAAATGAAAAAGAATTTCACGCTTTATATTCGAATAATGAGGGTTGTGTATGATCAACCTAATATCAAGTGGGGAGCCTTGACTAAGGACAAACCCCGGGAGTTGGGATAGAAGCTGAGGAATATGGAGAGGAGTAGTCGGAACACGAGTAGTATGTGGATAAGGACATTGACTTGTATCAGGGACACAGCTAGAGAGATGTAAATTAGGGATCTCGAAGGGCTACCTTAATTTGGTGGACACAGAGGGAACTGGTGGTAAAATAGAGAGGTCCAAGGGAAAGTGAAAGCTAAGAAGGCAGCATACTCAAAGTTAATGGAGAGAAAAGATGAGCAAGAGGAGAGTACGAATATGGAGTGATATAATATGGCGAAGAAGGAGATGAAGTTAGCGGTTATGGCAGCCAAGACAGTGGCATTTGGACTTTTTCATGAAGAATTTGAAGCCAAAGGTGGGGACAACAAGATATACAGGTTAGCCAAGGCGGGAGAGATGAAGGCCCATGATTGGACCAAGTGAAGTGCATCAAAGGCTAGGAAGGTAACGTATTAGTATAAGAGACACATATTAGATAGAGATGGCAGACATACTTCCATAAACTCTTGAATGAAGAAGGAGACACAAATATTATGTTGGGTGATTTGGAGAACTCCAAGAGTTATCGTGGTTTTGGGTATTGTAAGTGTATATAGGCTGAGGAGGTTGAGAGGGTATTGCGTAGGATGAGAAAGAGAAGAGCGACCGGGCCAGACGAGATCCTAGTAGAATTTTGGAAGACCACGGGCAAAAAAGGCTTGGAATGCTCACTAGGTTGTTTAATGTCATTTTTAGAACGTCGAATATACCCGAAGAATGGAGGTGAAGCACGATGATAACGTTGTACAAGAATGAGTTTTATATCCAAAATTATAATAACTATAGGGGAATCAAGCTGCTAAGACACACTATGAAAGTGTGGGAGAGGTTGGTAGAGAGACGAGGGCCAGGAAGAGCATGTCTATTTTCGAGAATCAATTTGAATTCTTACCGGAGCGATCGACCATAGAAGTTATTCATCTTATAAGAAGTTGGTCGAGTGGTATAAAGAGAGAAATAAGGACTTGCACGTGGTGTTTATTGACCTGGAAAAAGCGTACGACAAAGTCCCAAAGTAGGTTCTACGGAGGTGTTTAGAGGATATAGGTGTTTCGGTACCATATATTAGGGCGATTAAGGACATATACGATAGAGCAAAAATCTGAGTTAAGACAGTGGGAGGAGACTCACGATATTTTTCAGTCATGATGGGGTTGCACTAAGGATCAACTCTTAGCCCTTTCTTATTTGCCTTGGCAATAGATATATTGAAGCCACTTAAAGGGAGGTACCATCTTTAGACCCGGTACTTTCATGTTGGAATGCGTCTTGAGTGAAGCATTAGAAGCCAGAGAGTTTAAGGATCTTTACAAAGATAATGATGAGTTAACACGGGTGTTACAGAAGTATCGTGAGGATTGGAAACTAAACGAATCATACATGTTATAACCCGTACTTTTGGGGTAAAACTAGGAGTACTTAATAAGATAAGGATGTCATGTTTTAAGTTATTGAATCATATAATATTATTATGTTAATTTTTAAAGTCAAGCAAGTTATAAAACAAAAGTCGACAAAAGTCGTCGCAAGATATGTTCATAATCTTATTGAAATCTGGGTCTACTGTCACTGAAATTTTATCTCAATATACATGTATTTACGGGGTGATCCACCTACCAAATTGAATATCTACGAGTCTAGTTTCCATATCATCAAACCCTTTACCGATACGATATTGGAGTAGAGAGATATTTGTATTTTTACGAGTTGGATGGAAGTGGAATTTTATAGGGAAAATATTGTCCGATTTTCTTTAAGTGACCTACTAGCTTAGAAGCATGTTTGTAAGTCCTTTTATGGCATTAACTACAAGTTTTACTCTCTTAATGTAGATTGAATTCTTTGGGATGTTATACGTTGAGTCGTTAAGTAAACGACATAGGTATGTTAAGGCTTACTTTTTCTTTCTTTTGACATGATCTACAAAGAACGTAATTACAATGTTGTTACTTCAAAAGGAACTCTATTCTCAAGATTAAAGCTTGTGAGCCTCATTGTTTCATATTATTATAGTTCATAACTCTTATTGTTCTTTGTCGTTATCATTTCCCGCCTTGATAGCCTTTGAATATTATGTCTTCTTATGATCCTTGTTGTCTCTCGGACAATAGATACTAACACAGTTACAGAATGATAATCAGAGGATAATGACCTTAAGTCACTCTGATCGGGTCCATAAGGCCCTTCAGAGTCATTGCTTGCATTGCACTTATATATATATATATATAT